GTTGACTTGTGGATTACCAATTAAAGCTTATATTTTTGCATATATATTTATTTATTTGTATATAAATTAAGTTCTTACTTAGTTCTATTTAATTATATAAATTACTTAATAAAGATACAAACAAGGCCTTGTATTATATATACTATATATTTTTAAAAAAATTAAATTTAAATAATTTATTTGTATAAATTTACATATAAAATTAAAGTGAATCAACCCATTTGATTTATAAGTAACAAACATGTTCTGTAACTGTTTTTTATTTTAAATCCAAGTTTATTCATTTTCTCACTAATTATCCAAATTATTAAAGTAAATGAATATTATAAAGATTAAATAATCTTGTTTATATTTCTTTGTATATGTATAAAATAATAAACCACATCAAAAAGTAAATCTATTTCGATTACATAAAACCGGTATGTAAATATTTTGTATATAGTATATAATGAAAGATTCTCTTAATTTTTATAAAGTGAAATTATTTTTATATTAAAAATTCAAATTACAGTAACGAGTCAAACGGATCATAGCGTTTCTGGGAACCGTTCGTAGAATTCTGCTGTAAAGGTTGTGCGCCAGTCCATGTTCCTTTAACTGCCCATGATGAAGAATTGGCTTGTGCAAGAGAATTCATAGATGGTTTCGTAGGTTGCTTTGTCGTTTTAGTCTCCTTTCCCAAAGAATCCAAGCTTACTAATTTTGACGCTTGTGCCCAAATATCGTCAGATTTCAGAGCAGGAAATGATGTCATATTTGTGGAATTCTATAAAACGTAATTATAATATAAATATTCATTATGTTAGGTTTACAATCAGTAATGTATGAATTTTGCAACATACTTGTTTTGGCGTTGTTGGTGAAACCATTGGTTTGGAATTAAGGGTAGATGTCGAATGAGTCTGATTAGTCGGATTACCGACAGTGTTAGTCGGAGTTATCATAGTACTTGGTGTTGTAGTAACTGGTGAAACAGGTCCAAGCAAATCAAACAAATCATTGTTAACTTGAGGTGCATTTGTATTATTCTTTGGCACATTGGAATTATTAACGGGCTGTATATTTGTTTTTGGTGCTGAAGTAAACTGAAGTCCAGTCAGGTTCGTTGAATTCATTGAGATAGATGATCTCTGTGAAGGAGTTGTAAGTGGAGCACTTTGAAAATCTTGAAAGTCATCATCTAATTTCGAGTATATAGAAACATACATAAAATGTTATAATATTATTACATAGTTGGATAAGTAAAAAAATATATATATTAATAATACCAATAAATGCAGTTTGCATCGCGCCAAAATCACTCTGAGGTGCAGAATTAGGATTAGTATTTGGAGCATCATCAAAATCGAATAAATTAATTTCAGTGTTCGCAGTTGCCGGTTCATCCAAATTAGTTGCCGCGGTTGATGGTTCAGCTATCTTTTTATTGGATGTTTGACTAAGACGAGATGCACTACTACTACTGGTTCTTCTCTCTTCGTTAAAAGAGTTTCTATCTGCCCTACTATAATCGCTTTGCCATTGTGAATCTGGTTCATCGTATCGAGAACGTGTCCGATCTTCATCTGTTCAAGTTAGTAAATTGTGATCAATATGTATTTTACATGCTATAATAACCTTTTCCTTGTGTAATACTGACTGTAATAAAAAGAGTCATTCCCAAACCCTCCGTAACGAGATGACGAGCCACCATAACCAATAGCATCTGAGCTAACACCTGTATATTTAGTTCTATTCGCTTTCGCTTTTCTTCTTTCTTGCCTGATTTTCTCGACGTCGCTCAATAGTTCGGCGAGTTCCCTTGCACGGCTCCGAACTGTAATATAATTTAACTATGAACATATACATTTCTTCTTTTTTAAAAAAATAAAATAAAAAACTTACCGTTAACACCTTGATCTTTTCCTTTGTCGTCAATATAAGCGAAATTACGCATGATCTTAACGGTGCCCATATGTGATCGAGCATCGTCAACTACTCTTTCAGAACCATGTTTAACGAGATATTCAAGCAATTGTAGAGCCTAATATTGATGTGTGTGAATCACGTGTTTAATGCGAAAATTTAAACAAAAAAGTTTACCTTGTATATCTGCCTCCACTGTCGGGCTTCCTTCTCTGTGAACCGTTTATAGATCGTCGTCATGATCTCATTGAAACTCTGGCTTTAATAAATGGAGAGAGGACCCTTCACGGTGTCAAAAAAAGGATCTTTTATTAGTTGCGAAGCAAGGATGATTACTCACTAACTATATGTCCCTTGCGCAATCTCTTGCATCAAAGTGCTACTAGCGCCCCAAGGCTCATTATTGGTTGCCTCTCGGACCTTTGCCTCCATTTCTGTGTAGTTCATGACTACATTTTTTCTGGTATATGAAATAAGATTTGCCAATTAACAGTTATTCTTTAATTCGCACAAAGAGCACAATTCAATCTGATTACATACACCTTATTAAAGGCATCTTTAACATCCCATAGTGTTAAATTATTAAGCTGATCCATCGTTTGTGTAAATGCTGCTAAGACAGTCCTATTTTCCTTGGGATAACACGCTTTCTAAAAATATTGAATTTTGTTCTTGTAAACCTTTTTAAAAATTTCCGTCTGTGGCTATGACAAACGTTGTGGCTAGGTACGTAAATGTACAAATTGTTTAACGTGGTACTGTGATGTGTTCATTAATTATTTGTATTTAGAGTTTGGAGCCGGTTTTATTTTTTATCAGTCAGGGAATATGTCCTCTAGAGTGATAAATTATGGTAAAAACTATATTATAAACTTTAAGTTCCGCGTTATTTTCGAACTACACATAACTTATATATATTATTTATACTGTATTCAAATTTTAGGGTTAAACATATCGAAAATACAGTAGTAGATTAAGGTTATAAAAATTGTATATTCTATAATCGAATTTATTAAAAAAAAGA